CTGCGAGGGCGCCGGGATGCAAGAACCGACGCCGCCGTCGCCACCGACGAAGACGACAAGATGGAAAGGAGAGGTAGTGACGAGGAGGACGAGCAGGAGGAGTACGAGGAAGGAGGAGCACGAAGGCGACCAGAGAGGACGACGAAAGCGACCAGGGAGGAGAAGGAAGAAGAAGGAGGAGAAGAAGAAGAAGAAGCAGAAGAAAAAGAAGAAAGCAACAGCCTCGACGCTTATGCATGGCCAACGCACAGAAAAAAAGGGGAGGAGGGGGAAGAAGAGGGAAGAGGCGACGAGGGAAGAGGAGGGAGAAGAGGAGGGGGAGGCGGAGCAGCGACAGCAGGCAGACGAGAACAAAGGCTGGCGAGGAGGGAACGTGGCGGAGGAGGAGCTGGCGGCGCGCATACGGGGGGTATGGGGGATGGGTGAAAGTGCGCGTTCCACTACTCGCAGAGTAACTACTCGCAAGCGGCCTAGATCTGCGGCGGGGGATCTACGATCCAGTGCCTAGAGGAGGACGTGCGTGATTCGTTTCGGACACCTGCGAGCAGACACTTTGCGAGTGGTGGAACGCGCTCGGTGATTCTCAGAAGACGCGGGCCCTACGGCTGCAGACATTGCCCACGCCTTCTAGGAAGCCGGGGTGCTTCTAATGGAGGGCTTCTCCCCTCCCCCGATGCCCCCCCTCTGCGCGTGGCAGGGGAACGCAGAGTTCAAGGGGCCCAGGGACACACAATTGAACGCACACAAACCCCAGGATTCCCCATATTTTTCATTTGTTTCTGGAGTTTCGTCTTCCCCCCCCACCACTTCCCACATTTCCCCATCTGTTCCTGGGAATCGACGACGTGTCGTGTCTTTGTGATTTTGCCCTCCTGAACAATAAAGAACGAAGAGGTTTTCCTGGCCAAGGCGGGCCTAGACCACAGGGTCCACGACAGAAGTCTGAGGAACGGCCCGAAACGCCGAATTAGCCCCTCCTGAGGCCAAAGCGGTCCTCTCGGCGGCGAGCGAGGGAAGGAGGTGAGGAGAAGGCCTTCTCAGAAGGCGGCGGGACTTCTCAGCAGCCCTCGCGCCTTCTGAGAAGTCTCTTCTCTCGTCTTCGGGGAAGGGAGGGCTCAGAAAACTTCCCAGAAGGCCGGGGGGCTTCCGAGCCTTCTGGGAAGGCCCGCCCCCTCCCACTTCCCCCCCCAGGCTCGCCGCCGATATGGACGCCCGAAATGGGTACGGAAAGAATGGGCACAATGCCCAACAACAAATGTTGTCCCAAACCAACAACGGCCGCTGCTGGGCAGGCGGCCTTCTGTCTCGAATGGACACAGGCCGCGGCGGCATGGACAGCGAATCCTGTTCAAATGAACAGGAACTGCTGTTGGGCATTGTACCCATTCTTTCCAGACCCTAAAACAACGTGAAGATCGGAACAAAATCGGATCGGGATAGTTCGAAATCTCTGAGAATCGGCGGGTTTGGAGGACGTATTGGGCGCCGCGGCCGCTCCAGAGCGTTCCGGAACGCTCTGAGAGCGCTCCGGAACGCTCTGGAGCGATTTATCCCGATCCTAGCCCTGTTTTATACCCATGTCGGGCGTCCAGAACTTCCCCCCCGGGCTCGCCGCCGATCCTTGCTCCAGCGTCTTGACCACAGAGTGCGTTGCTGGGCAGTGCCGACTGCTCAGCTCCACGGGGCCACGACAGACAGGCGGGAAGAGCCTCACCGCCCCTCTGCAGGAGGCGGTCCGGTCTGTCGGGGGGGAAGGGGAGGGGGGGCGCCAAGCTAGGTGCGCTCGCGTCATATCTGACATCCTACCCCTCCCTCCCATCCCGCAGAGCACCTTGGCAGGTCAGGGGAGCTGCGCCGCTGCAGCAGTGCAATTAGCCAAGGCCGTCTCCCCAGAGCCGTCCCGTTTGCTCTCACTCGGCGTTTCGACGTTGGGCGGAAGGGGGGGGGAGGGGGGCGTCTGGGTCTGGCTCCAGACCTCTGCTTGATCGACTGCTGGAGACAGTGCGTCCTAGGGGGGAGACTCCACCTGCTTGAAACAGGCGCCCGAAACAGCCAAGATCTACACCATGGGAGGGAGGGGGAGGGGGTGCGAGGGCCCGCGCCGATGGGCAAAACAGTGAATAAGAAAACGATGGCCAGTTCGACCCATTGTGAACCAAGCCGCCCGTGCCGATGGCGAGCCTCGCTGCGGAGCCTCGGGCGCAGCAGCCAAAAATAGCGTCCTTCTTCTTTCGACATGCGCGCGCGCGTGTAACTGAAGGGGCCCTGGGACACACAAATAGATGCACACAAATAAAAAGATGTCCCATATTTTCCCATATTTCCTGGGCTTATGTCTTCCCCCACTTCCCATATGTTCCCATATTTTCTGGGGAATCGACGATTAATTGCGTCTGTGTGTTTCTTTCCCTCCTGAGTAACTTTGTGAAGACACCATGGTTCCTCTACGCCCGCGTGCGAGCCACATCGGCCGCTCCTGGCCGAGCAAGCGAGCCGCACACTCTGCACGCAAAAAGTGAGACTCTTGGCAAGATCCGCCGACCCTTCGGCGCGTGTGAGACGCTGTCGTCGTCTTCGTATTCTTGGCATGTGTATTATTATGGTTCGAGTTCGTATTGTTAATGAATTACGACTGTTGTGCTGAACAGTGTTGCTAGTATTACGCTTATATGCATGGTTGTCGTTAGTGTTATTATTGTTAGTAGTTATCATATGCTTATGCTTACTCTTCTGAGTAAGAGTGGTAGTAGTATTACTAGCAGTAGCAAGATCAGTAGTAGTAGTAGTAGTAGTAGTAGTAGTTGTTGTTGTACTTGTACTAGTACTAGTAGTACTAGTAGTACTAGTAGTACTAGTAGTAGTAGTAGTAGTAGTAGTAGTAGTAGTAGTAGTAGTAGTAGTAGTAGTAGTAGTAGTAGTAGTAGTAGTAGTAAAGTAGTAGTAGTAGTAGTAGTAGTAGTAGTAGTAGTAGTAGTAGTAGTAGTAGTGTAGTAGTAGTAGTGTAAGTAGTAGTTGTAGTAGTAAGTAGTAGTAAGTAGTAGTAGTAGTAGTAATAGTAGTAGTTAGTAGTAGTAGTAGTAGTAGAGTAGTAGTAGTAGTAGTCAGTAGTAGTAGTAGTAGTAGTAGTCGTAGTAGTAGTAGTAGTAGTAGTAGTAGTAGTAGTAGTAGTAGGTGGTAGTGGTAGTGGTAGTGGTAGTGTAGTAGTAGTGGTAGTGTAGTAGTAGTGGTAGTAGTAGTAGTAGTAGTAGTAGTAGTAGTAGTAGTAGTAGTAGTAGTAGTAGTAGTTGTAGTAGGAGGAGGAGGAGGAGGAGGAGGAGGAAGAATAAGAGTAGGATTCGTATCAAAGGTAGTATTAATATTAGTGTTACGAGTAATATTAATATTCGTCGTCGTCGCTGGTCTCACGAACATCGAGGAACGAACAGAAAAAAGACGCCGTAGTTTATTCGATGCCTCCACGTTTTCCCCTCCCTGATGGGTGGGGGGTACGGGAGGGGATAGGGGGGGAGTCAAGACACCCCCCCAGATAGCAAGCCGTCTAGCTCACTCCCTCCCGCCCTCCCAACACATAAGTCAGCATGTTCAGCGGTCGTCTTTGGATGGACAGCCACTGGGAACCAAAACCGACCCCGTGTGCGCGACCCTGGGTGGGGCGAGGTGCGCCACGCGTGCCAGGCGCGCCACGTGCGCCAGGCATCCCTGGGGGCCCGAGCGTGACAAGCACGCCTGTTGCGCCAGACGCGCTACGTGCTCCACGTGCGCCGGGTGAGCCGCACACTCCAGCGGCGCCAGCTGCACCACGCTCGGGCCACGTGCGGAGTGTGTCAGGTGCGCCTGCGCACGTGACAGCACGCATCGGGAAACATGTCGGCCCCCCCCCATCCTTGTCGAATGCCAATGCCCAGTCTGGTGGGCCTACACACAGCAGGCAATGTGCCACCACCCCCGCCGTCCCTGTCAAAAACCACTTGACAGTGATCGCGGGGTGGACGCGCATGATCCAGATTTAGCCGCGAGGTGCATTTTGTATTTAACAATAACCCTGCGCACAGCAAGCAATATGCTGACACCACCGCCGCCCCTATCAAAAAATAATACTGCCCGCGGGCCTCACGAACATGACTCAAGACTTTGCCCCAAAATGTACTTTGTATTGTGATTTGGCCCGGATGGGGGAGGACTCGCATCGGGTTGGTTGCGCAGGCTCCGAATCACACCAGCCCTCTGGGCGTAGGTGGTTTAGGGAGTTTCCTCTTCCACCCTCCTTCTTCCCCTTCGGGGAGGGATTTACCCCTCCCCCTACCCCCTCCCCTGGACATGGACAGAGGGTTCCGCGAGTCGTCGGAGCGTCGGGTTTTGGCCCCATTTTGGCCTCCTGGGGGGGGGGGACGCTAATTGAACACCCCCCCTCTTGTGATCGATCTCACCCAAGATGGCCCAAAGATGGCCCCCAAGGCTCCCAAGGGTGCCCCAAGAGGGCCCCAAGAGGTGGCCAGGAAGCCCCAAGAGGCCCCCAAGATGCCCCCAAGAGGCTCCCAAGAGACCCCCAAGAGGCCCCAAGAGACCCCCCAGAGGCACCCGAGATGCTCCAAGAGACCTCGGCGAGAATGCCAAATCATTGATTCTACGAAGGTGTTCGCCACATGTTGGCCTCTTGGGGGGGGCACTGATTAAGGTGACTCCAAGAGCGCCTGGGAGAGCCCAAGATGACCTCCAAGATGGCTCAAGATATCCCAAGATGTCTCATAATGGCTTCCTCTGTGTGCTGCCCACTTCCCTGATCGAGGCAATTTCTCTGGGCGTCGTTTCTGGATGGGCTGGTGGGGATTCTTTTTTGGTCGGCGGCCGCGCGACAACGGTCTGGCGGCGAGAAGCAAAGTCCGGGCCGGCGGCACAATGCGAATTGGCGACGAGCGCGTGGATGCACATGCACAGGACAGCTGGTGGGGATTCGCGAAGCGTCAACAATTTGGAGGCAGTGTGTTTTGTACTGTTTTTTT